ATATATATATATATATATATATAATATATATATATATATATTATATATATTATATACTTATGTATATAATATATACATACATAAAATAATTTATTTGTTTAAAATGAATTATGATAATAATGATAATAGATAATAGATAATGATAATAATGATAAGAATGATAAAATAATGATGATAACTAAATATTTCGAAAAAAAAATATAATTATATTTTAAATTCTGAAAATAAAATTTATATATATTGTTATTCACTAATCATTCTTAAATCATGTTTGTATTATATTAAAATAAAATTATATTATTATTAAAAACAATATTATTAAAAAAGGAATTAAAATATTATATTAAAGAACAATATATGCCTTATATTCACGAAAGCTATTTATTGAAGTTATTTTATATAAAAAAAAAATCATGTCAATGCACATCAAATGTAAGAGTGCCATTTATGTTATATTGATTCACTGTTGATTTATCAAATATATAGGATATTCTGAATAATGATACATAATGATACATCATGAGGAAAAAATAATTTTACATAGAAAAATAAATTGAAAATTTAGAATAAAATTTTTTCATTTGAAATTTCATTTTCAAGTAAATCAAATATAAAAAATTTTCAAATACAAACAAAATTAATTATTTCTCTATTAGATATTGATAGAAGATAATTCGACATAAAAATAAATTCGAAAATAAGCAAAAAAAAAATAAATAAATTTTTTTTATAAAAATTAGTTTTCGAAAAAATGAAATTTGAAAATTCACTGATTGCATGACTTTTTCGACAGTTCATTTACGATTTTCATAAAAATAAATTTTATTTTATATTTTCTTATTCACTTTTTCATGTAGACTCATTCCTTTCATGATTTTATACGTCGATCTAATTTTATATAATATTCTATATAACATATATATAGCACTGTTATTGCATTTAAAATTCTTATATATATATATATATGTATAGCACTGTTACTGTATTTAAAATTCTTATATATATTATTTATAAATTGTTTCAAAATTTTTTTTCTAATGTATTTAATGAACTTAATAATAAACAGTATCTATTCATAAAATAGCAATATTTTCATTTTTTTTTAATTATTTTATATTTTAAATAATACTTCTATAATACTGAAAGGAATGAATTTTGTAATAATTTTCTTTGTTTTAAACATGACATACATTAAACTATGTTAGGAGTTTATATCAAGGTCGATAAATGAAATCTGAAAACTTTAAAATGACTAGCAATGATTAATAATCTGTTTGATTTTTTTAATTTTGTTTTTGTAAAAACTTATTAATTTATATAACGATAATTTTTTATATTAAGAATTATATTAAGAAATAAAGAAATATTAACATTACAAAAGAATTAAATAAAATTAAAGAATTATTGAAAAGAAAAAGAATAAAATAATGTAATGCTTTTTGTAATTATTATCAAATTAAAAATTCTTCTCATTAAAAGATAGTATCATAAATTAATTTTAATAAATTTCTGAAAATATTATATATTCATTTATTATATATTATTTTATTTCTTAATTTATTTAACAATATATATAAAAATATAATTGAAGAAATATTGAACACTAAAACTTATTTATTTTTCGATTTATTTTATTAATTTATGACTGATTTTAATAAATATTAAATGAGAGATTGTAACATTATGGAATACTGTAAATTAATTTAATTAAAATATACAATAAGATAATGAAAAAATTTATGCAAATAAACAATCAGAATTTATAGTAATAGCTTGTTACTTCTATAACGGTAAAAACGTAATAGACATATATAGCTGAAGTTTAGCAGTCAAAAGGAAGGGAAACTTGCGCTTGCCTACTTGTTTTCTTGGGACCATGATTGGTCCCAATTCTTGTTAGTATTCATCTAACTGTTGCATTGAAAACATTGATACTTTAAGGTCTTCTATATTTTCTTCTTTACTTTCTTTGGAAAAGAACCAGTGCTACAAGCGCTGGTAACAGCGTGACATCCTTGAAGTCGACAATCCTTTTGGTGAGTCACAAATATTTTTTAAGATGACGTGATTTTATTATAAATTATTTTTTTCATTTATGTATTGAAAAAAATTATTGCAAATATATATTCCTTCTCTTTTAATTAAAATTTTAATAAATACAAAAATTTTCTTAATTTATTGATAATAATAATATTTTTTGAATTCGCAATTACTTAATAAAATTTACGTGAATATATTCATTAGATAGATAGGAGTTTGGAGACTTATAAAATGTAAACTATTGTACTACTTTCGAATCAAATAATTCCGTTGACCATTCGATTCAAAAAAACATAACATAGATGACAGATGCATTTCTTTATATTTCTTTTTCTTAATATTCTTTATTTTTTAATGAAAAATGAAAAAAAATATATCTTTGAATAATATAAAATATAAGAATAATATAGAATAATAAAAATATTAATAATATTTCAGTATATTTCAAAAAATTATAATTAAAAAATATGTATTAAATAAAAATTGAATATTTTATAAAACAATTTCAATTTTCATTTTAATTAGTTTATAATAATGTCACATAATTTTATAAATAATTAACTTATTTTTAATAAAAAAATATTTTATATAGATTTTTTATATAGCAATCAGGAAATAATGAATCAAATACTCAAGAAATTAATTTTGAAATAGTTATGATAAATTGTATTAAATACATCATAAATAAATATAATAAACATATGATATAATTATTAAATAGTATAATTATTCTAATAATCATATATAAATGATATAATGATATATTATATACTATATTATAGATTATTTAAATATCTATAATTATAATATTACTAACAATTATACAAAAATAAATTAATTAATGTGTATAAATATACCATAGATTTTGATATATATAAAATATTATAAATCATTATATTGATTTTTGTAATAAATTTATTATAATATAATTTTAAAAATTAAAAATTTATATAAATCCATTATATATATATATTGAATATATAATTTATAAGTAAAATTTTTATTTTATTAAAATAATTATTGTAAAATATTTCATAAAACAATATCTTATATAATAATTTTGTTTAAATCTATTTATATAAATTATTAAATATTGAGAAAGTAACATTATTTTGTCTTGAAATTTCAATGTTTGGTTTTTCCTTAGTTTATGCAATCATGCAAATAAATCACTTTATTGTTGCAAGAGACTGCATAATTGCTGATGGAAAAACCAGTTTGATACTATATGTATTACTAATTACAAAATTATATAATAAAATGATATCATCTATATTTATAGGATATTTGAATGTAGGAATTTGCCTTGATCAAAATAATCAAATTTTTTTATCATTCATATGTTTTACTTATTATGAATGATATAGTATTAAAAATTTATCTATTAGTAATTATGATAATTTCTTGATTTTTTAATATAGTTTTTTTTAATAATGATTATTAGCAATAATTATTAATTCTATTATAATATTTTATAATTATTTCTTTAATATATATTAATTGAAAAAATATAGGAAAAATTAAATTTTACAGATTTTACAAAAATGATTTGGCAGTGGTTCCATATTTTTTTTTATCCTGCATAATATTAAATGTTACTGCAGAATCGTACGTATATATAAATTTTATTTATTTTATTAAATGTTAAATTAAAATAATATATATAAATATGAACATAGGTTACAAATATTATATTATTAAATATTTTCTAAAATTAATAATCTAAAATACTTTACTATTTTATATCATAATATTTATGATATATTTTTAAAATGTATCACATTTTATGATATATTTTTTAAGATATTACAGCATAATAGCTCCAAAGGTAATACGAGCTGATTCTGAATATCATGTAGCTGTAAGTACCACTGGTATATCAACACCATCAACAATATATATTGAACTGAATGGATTGCTTGATAATGGAGAAATATTCAATGTATCTCAAGTTATACGTGTACAGCCATACATGACAAGAATTTTACAATTTGAGGTAAATATATTTAAATTTGTTATAACTTTTTTATTTTTTACATATAATATTTATTTATTAAATTTTTTTTTAGATTGGTGATATTATTCCTGGCAAATATCAATTAATTGCACGTGGTTTGTCAGGAATAGAATTTTCAAATTCTAAATCAATAGATTATGTTCTCAAAAGTTATTCAGTTTTTATTCAAACTGACAGAGCAATTTATAAACCAGGAAATAAAGTTATGTTTCGATGTATTTTATTGAATTCTAGACTTAGACCTACACTTGAAAGATTAGTAGATATTTATATTACAGTAAGTATTTTGAAACAAATAATATATATAACAAAACAAATTTTTGAATTTATATTATATCATTATAGGATGGAAAAGGAAATAGAATTAAACAATGGATTCGCCCACCTGTAACTCATGGAATTTTTAATGGAGAAATTGAACTATCTGAATTTCCAGTTTTAGGTACTTGGAAAATTACAGCTAATGTTGGAGATCAAACATTTGAAAAAGATTTTGAAGTTGCTGAATATGTATTACCTAATTTTGAAGTAACAATTGATGCTTCTAAACATTTTACATTTAAAGAATCAAAAATCACTGCAACAATTTATGCCAAGTAAGTGGATTCTAATAAATAAATAATTTATAATTTAATAAATATATAATTTTTCATAGTTTTCAAAATTAGATTTAATTTATATCAGTTAGTCATATCATTCATATTATTTAATACATGATGTAATTATATTAATATTATTATTTAATTGTTACTTTGTATATATAAGATATAATATCGCATTTTTTTATAATATAATATAAATCATTTATTGAACTTAATAAAATTTTTAATAAATTATTGTTCGTCATTGTCCTAAATATTTGAATATTTTATGATAAATAATAATAAAATTATGAAATATAATAATAAAATAATAAAATATATGATAAATAATATAATAAAAAATATGAGATTAATATTTTATAATTATTCTCTTCATTTGATAAAAATGTATTCATACATTTAAAAGAATTTTTTAAATATATTATGAAATATATTATTATTATGTATTATTTTTTTTATACTTTTTATATCAATATATATTTACTATAATTATTTTTATATTTATTATATAAGAAGACTATTAATATATTTAAAAAATATTTTTCTCATAAAAGATAATAAATTCAAAAACAAAACATAGTTCGAATTAATATTAATGTGAGTAACAGTATATAAATAATCTCTTAAAAAAATTTGACAAAAATTATTTATTTCAAAGTGCAAATCATTTAGGTATATTTATGGTAAACCAGTAAAAGGCGAAGCAACAATTACAGCTTATCCAGATATTTTTTCTGGTGTAATACAACCAATATATCAACAACCTGTACGAAAAGTAATTCCTATAAATGGAAAAGTAATTGTTGATTTTGATATTCATGATGAATTAAAGTATGTATATTTTAATAAATTATTAAAATATATTTTTTAAGAAAAAATATAAAAACTATTTTTTTTATAGATTAACTGATGAATATGAAAGACCAGTCATGCTTGATGTTACAGTAGAAGAATCTTTAACTGGTAGAAGACAGAACATTTCTACACATATAACATTACATAAAAATAAATATACAATGGATTTAATAAAAACATCAGAGTATTATAAACCAGGATTAAAATATACAGCATTTGTATGTAAATTTATATATAATATCATAAATTTAAATTTAAAAATGCAAAATATGTAAAAAAAATTTCCTCTTCTTTCTATTTTTCTTATAGATAAAAATAACATATCATGATGGAACACCAGTAAGAGATAACAAAAATCCTGTTACGATAAAATATGGATATAGTTACAATATTGATAATCAATCTATATATACAAATATTACTGGTATGCTGGATGAAAATGGAATGGTAAAATTAGATTTTTATCCACCAAAAACTAATGATAATATTTCTTATCCTTTAAACATTGAGGTAAAGTATTAGATATTATATATTAACATTAATAACAAAAATAATGACTTCTAATAATAAATTTTATTTAAAAATTGTTAATAAAATAGGCTCAATATTTAAATCTTTATGAATGGTTTCCATCAACAAATCAAGCTATGTCTCAAAATAATGAATATATACAAGCTATTTTGAAAACTGAAAAACCTATGGTATGATAATTTTTATTTTATTATTTTATGTGAATTATTCTAAATATTTATATAAAAATCAATATTAAATATAATATATGATTCATAGGTTAATCAAGATATAGAAATTGAAGTCAATTCTACAATTCCATTGAAATATATTAATTATGAAATATTTGGACGCGGCGATATATTGGATGCAGGTTCTATATATGTACAAAATAAACATACAACAAATTTTAAGTAAATATTTATTTTCTAAATATAAAATAATTCATATATTATATTATAAAACTTACATGAAAATATTTTAGATTCTTAGCAACATATGTTATGGCTCCTACTGCACATGTAATTGTATATTATGTAGGAAATGATGGTGAAGTCATTGCAGATGCTTTAGATGTAGAGCTAGAAGGAGTACTTCAAAATTTTGTAAGTTACTAATTTAAGGAATTTAAAAAAAGTTATAGTAAAAATTATAATAAATTAATGATCTTAAATATTATTCTCTTTCTTATTTAAGGTTGATATTAAAATGGCACCTGAAGAAGTTGCACCAGGAGAAAATGTTAATTTAATTATTACATCAAAACCAAATTCATATATTGGATTATTAGGTGTAGATCAAAGATCTCTTCTATTAAAATCTGGCAATGATATTTCATATGTATGTAATAAATAGACAATTTACATTAAATTTTTATTAAATTTTATATTATAATTAGAAATAATTGTGATATATTTTAATTATTTATAGGAACAAGTATATAAAGAATTAAAATCATATGATAATGCACATGAATCACCTTATGCAAATTCCATTTTTGATCGATATTTATGGAGTCCTGGTTCAGCTACAGCAAAAGATGTTTTCAGAGTAAATAAATTATCATTTTCTCTAGATTTATTTTTGTTTTTTATTTTGTAATAATAATATGAAATTTTTGATATAGGAAAGTGGTGCTATTATCATAACAAATGGATATGTTCATGAAAATTTACCAATTAGTAAGTAAATTCTTTTCTGTGGCTTATTAATATTATTACTAATATTAATTTATCTTTCCTTTACATGTGAAACATACTAAATATTTTCTAATACCATATTATAATATTATAATATTATAATATCTAATAACATATTAGTCATTGATATTTTATTTATTTGTAATGTAGAATGAGAAGAATATTCTCAAATCTAATTTTTCATGTAATACTTACTATCAAATCTTTAGTTAATCAAATTAGGTATTTATCAGTTAACAAGGCTTATGTCTGTATAGTATACTACAGATCTGCTGTAGAGTTCGCCTTTCCATCAGCTGTTGGAAGTATCGGTTCAATTGCATTGCCATCAAAGAAGACGAAAGTACGCAAGAATTTCCCTGAAACTTGGCTTTGGCAAACGCTTGATGCTGGGTAATGCCATTGAAAATTTTTACTTGCTAAAAATACTTTTTTATTATATTAAAGCTATTAATAACTCATTGAATAGACATAAATATTACCAAATGTTAACTATCTAAACATACTATATCATTTTAACTAAATTACTAATATTTAATAATTGCTTTATGTGCTATGGTGATGAATTTATTATAACTCATATTTCATTTTCTGCTATTTAATCATTTAATATTATATCCTATATACAATATAAAAAAATATATAAATTATCATCATCATAATATAATTCAAAATATAAAAAATAAGTTACTTTAAATGAAATATAATAACAAATTAAATTTTTGTAATAGTGTTACATTGCTTTTTTTTATTTCCTTGGTTGTGCTGATATAATACAATGTATAGAATTGGATTACAGAACAACCAGGAATACTGGAAGGTAGAATAACAGGCTCACCTCATGGAGCATCCACACTTCGACCAGACCTTGGTCCACCTGTTATGCACAAACTAGCAACAAGACCACCATTGGCAGGTCCTTATGCCTTCTCTCGCATCCCACCTCCTGTATGGAATAAGCCCCGTGTTTTCCTAATGCATGACATCTTAAACACTTGGCTTTTTACAAACTTCTCTGCAGGGTATTTATTTCATATACTTTCAATTTATGAAGCTTTATGTACACGCTTTGTATACATTGTTTGACAAATGACATTCATGGATCATATGATATGGATATCATGCTTTATTTTGTACAAAATATTTCTATATAAATCAAAGCTGGAATATTCTGGGTATTCTGATATAACTAGTATACTATAACTAGTCATTAATATAGTATAATATATTATTGCTAATTTCTATATAATTCAATTTACATTTTATTATTCTTCAATCATTGTTTCTTTCATATTTTATAAAAAAATTGTTTAATTTTTTAATGATGCATTCAAATTTTTGTAAAACATTTATTAGTAAAATTAAAAATTTATTTATTTATTTTACATATAGGATATATATAATTATATACATATTTATGAACAAATACATTATATTATAAATAATTTCTTTATTAATCAAAAAATATTAAATTTTTATTACAATACATTACATGCTTATAGATTCATAATTCAATGAAGATTAGAAATGTTATTTTTTTGAATTATATTATATTTAAATATTTTAAAAATAAGATTAAAACAAAAATTAACTATAAATTAAAAATAGGCATGAGGGAAAAAATGAGCTAAAAAGAAATGTACCTGATTCAATTACATCATGGGTGCTTACTGCATTTTCTGTAAATGATGTTCATGGATTAGGTCTTATAAAAGAACCACAAAAGGTAATATAAAGAGATTATATAAGTTATAATAATTCAAAAATTTACTTAATATGAATATAAAAAGCAAAATTTATTTTTTTTTCAGTTAAAAGTTTTTAGACCATTTTTCATTGCAATGGATCTTCCTTATTCCGTGATTCGAGGCGAAATTGTTGCAATTCAAATAGTTGTATTTAATTATATGAATAAAAATGTTGTAGCTGAAGTTTTATTAACAAATGAAGGCCAGTTTGATTTTGCAGAAATATCCAATGAAATTCAAGATGTACCAAGTAAAATTAAAATATTATAATATACATTTTATACAATTCATATATTGAAACAAATAAATTATTAAAAATTTTCTAGAATTAGAATTATATCGTAAAAAGAAAGTAGAAGTAAAAGCTAATTCTGGAAGCAGCATATCCTTCATGATTATTCCACGAGAATTGGGATATATTACAATTAAAGCAACTGCAAATAGTATACTAGCTGGAGATAGTGTTAATCGTAAACTTCTTGTTAAGGTAAATTATATTTCATACAATTTTTTATATAGTTTTTCTTTTATTGAAAATAAATTTTATTATTCACTTTATTTATTAATTGAAAGTAAATCTCAATTTTTATTGTAATTAATTTATAACATAAATATAGGCTGAAGGAGAAACGCAATATATAAACAGAGCAACTTTCTTAGATCTTAGAAATACAAAAAGTACATCAATTAATGTCACAATTGATATACCCAAAAATGCTGTTCCAGGTTCAGAACACATTGAAATATCTGCAGTAGGTAATGTTCTAGTTATTAGAATTCATTATTAGATTTAAATAATATTTTCTTATATAATTTTTTATAATTATAGATTATAATATGATTATATCGATTACAATATTGATTTATGTAATACACTTTAATATAGTTTTCAATCTCATTTTTTTTCTAATTTTTTAAATATTTGGTAAACTTTGAAAAAACATTTTATATTATTTAGAATTTTAATTTTAAAAAAGTTACTGTTTATATTAATATTAAATTTTATTTTTATTAGGTGATATTTTAGGTCCAAGCATTTTGAATTTAGCAAATTTAATCAAAATGCCATCTGGTTGTGGGGAACAAAATATGTTAAATTTTGTTCCAAACATAATGATATTAAATTATCTCAATGTAAGTATGATATGCATATAATATAATGCATTATAAAAATGATTTCTAAATGTTTAATTATATTAAAATTATATAGAATACAAATCAATTAACACAAGCAGTGCAAAACAAAGCTCTTAGATATATGGAAATAGGCTATCAAAGAGAATTAACTTATAGACATAATGATGGATCATTTAGTGCATTTGGCATGTCTGATAGCAATGGAAGTACATGGTATATATAAATATTAATTATAATTCTACTATATTGTAATAATTATAACATATTATATATTTTAATTATTAGGCTTACAGCATTTGTTGCAAAAGCTTTTAAACAAGCTGCTGCATATATTCCAATTGAAGATAGAATAATAGATGAAGCTTTGCAATGGTTATCAAATAATCAAGCTCCTAATGGAAGTTTTCCTGAAGTAGGAAGAGTTAGTCATCGAGACATGCAAGGTGGAGCTGCAAAAGGTCTTACATTGACAGCATTTACTCTTATTGCTTTTCTTGAAAATACAGTAAGTATAATTTATTTAATATTATGAAAGAAAATTAAATTTAATCTTTATAAAATAATGAAAAATATAATATATCATCATAATGTAGAACACAAATGGAAAATATAGAAACACAATAAATAAAGGAATTGATTATATCGTTCGTAATATAAATGATCTAGAAGATGCTTATGCTTTGAGTATATGCACATATGCCTTAAATTTAGCAAAACATCCATATGAAAATACAGCATTTAATTTGCTAGAATCTAAAGCTATGACCAAAGAAGATATAAAATGGTGGAATAAACCGATACCAGTAAACGATAAAAATCCGTGGTATTATTCTCTACCACGATCTGTCGACGTTGAAATGACATCTTACTCTTTATTAACTTATTTAGAGCGTAATTTAATCACTGATTCTATACCTATAATGAAGTGGCTGGTAAAACAAAGAAATGCAGAAGGAGGTTTTGCATCTACACAAGTAAATATCAAAAATACTAAATTATATTATAATTATATTATAATTATACTTGAAAAGTATAATTATAATATAACTAAACAAAAAGTAATCTCTGTAAAAAATAAAACAAAGATTTAATATAATATTTTTTTTATATATATTATATATATTTTATATGTGTTATATTTTATTTATTCTAATTTTTAGGATACAGTAATTGGTATTCAAGCTTTGGCAAAGTTAGGTGAAAAATTAATAACAAAAAATAATAATATTTCTGTAACATTTTCATATGAAGGAGGTGGACAAAGTCAAATGAATATAAATTCTGATAATTCTATGATACTTCAAAAACAATGGTAAATTTAAATTATATTTTAATATATTAATAACTGATTTTTTTGATAAAAAACAGAAAATAATTGCAAACACAAATTAAAG